AGCCCACCCCAACTCTACACACCTACGTGCAGAAGATCCCCAGGAAGAAACTGTCATGCCAAACCTCTGCCCAGGTTGTCACGGAGACCGCCTGAGTCCCTGCGATCCTGCCGTGAGCATTGCCATAGAACAGGGTGCCCTGGACTGGCTATCGCTGCACTGAAGGGTGTGCCCTGTGTGCCGGGACCCCTGGTATCATTTATGGTAACAGTGTCGTGCCATCTCCCTCACCCCAGGGGCACACTGTTAGGTGTAAATGGGTCTGACTGGAAAAGGATGGAGCAGGCGAGAGAAGGCGGGTGACTGGGCAGACCCCTGCAGCCTTTAGGTGCCTGATTGTGGGTTTGCCACCTAGAGGTTCCCCAGCTGTGGAGCCCACCAGCAGGGTCAGTTTAGCTGCTCTTTTCTCCACAGCACTCACAGCCCCTCTTCACAGGCTTCTGAACCTGGCATTGTCCCCCGCACCCCCGTTTCCCTCCCCAGCTCCCGGCAGGACAGAGGAACCCTCCTGTGCTGGCCCCTGTGTCACCTGGGCACTGCTTTAGCTACTCCAGAAGCTCTTCCCCCTGTGACAGCCAAGCAGGAAAGGGCCTTGGGGGGCGGGGGGATTCCTCTTTTGTGTTTATTTTTGGTTTTTGTCTTCTCTCAGCCAGCATAGGATCAGGAGGGGAGATCGCTGGAGGGCCTTTCAGTTCTGTGTGACCAAGGGGGCCTTCCCCACAGCAGCCCTGGTCCTGCAGCTCTGGGTGTTTGGGAGAGGCTAGCGCGGTGTCAGCCCAAGCTTGACAATGTTTGCTCACATTCTTTCTGCCTTTTCTCAAGCTCCCCGGATACCAAGGCTCCTTCCTCCTGGGCAGACAGCTGGCTGTGGTTAGCAGGACCAGCAGGGCTGCAGGTGGTAACCAGGCCCTTCCATTCCTTGGCTGAAATCCTTTGTGATCGCCGGTCTCTTATCGCTTCTTCTCGGGTGCCGTGTGTGTGCTCTAGGCTGCACCTGGAAGGTTGGGAGCCCAGCATCCCCTATTGCAGTGCACACTCCTGCCCTACCCCCTGCCTTCCCTGCGGCCAGCTGTCTCTGCACATGAGCGAATGAGAAAAACAGTCCCCAAACTCAGCAGCCCCCTCTCCCTGCTGCAGCTCGGGTTCTGAAGTCCCCAGTGAGGGCTCAAGCCTAACAAGTTATTTGTCTTTTGCTTGTCTTTTTCTTCTGCCCTCCCCAGCCTCTTAGCTCTGAGTAGGTCTTGGAGCTGCAGTGCACCCCCCTTTGTTATTTTTCCTGGTGCCAGGGTATCCCCTATAGACGACGGGATGTCCACAACTTTTGGGTAAGGTGGGCAGCCTGGGTAGCCAGCTTCCATGTACCCTTACCTTGTAGGGCTCCCAGCCCTCCTGGCTTGGTGGTGGGACCTCCTTCCCTAGCTCTTGAGGGCCAGCTCGTTAGCCCAAGTGCCTGTCTCCCCTCTCTCCTTCCCCTGCTCTCTCCACTTTGTCCCCCTGAGGTTGGGCATCAGCCCTAAGTCAGTCCAGTCCGTGGACTAGCCTGCGGTGAGGTGGGTGGCCCCTGTCCTCCTTCTCAGCCACTTGCCACCTGTTCCCGCCGTGGTCGCTTCCTCGCCTCTTCCTGCCTTTCCACCCTCTCCACCCGTCTCAGGCCTGGCAGCAGCTCTGTGGTGCATCACCTCAGTGCCACCAAGTTTAAGTTTGTCCAAGTTCCAGAAGTTTCCAAACCTTAAAATAGCAGCCCGTTACCCGCTTCTCCAGTCTGAAAGGAGAGCCTGTTGGAGGGAGAGTCTGGGCCGGGTGCTCCCTAAATGAGAGGAGTCAGCAGACAGATCATGCATAGTGCCTTATTCCACTGTCTTCCCTGGCCAGACCCTGCTCCCCTGGAGTCTGTGTCTTCTTCCTCCTCGTTTGTGTCCATCTGTCTCTTACACTCTCCCTCCCAGTCACCCACAGCCGCATGGGGTTCCCCTCTGCCCTCCTTCTCCCCTCCTTCCCCCATCCCTTCCTGGGGGCTGCAGCCAGGTACACATCTCCCGCCCACCACCAGGGCGGTCTCTAGCAGCTTTAGCTGAGGATGGGAAATGCTTTAGACAGGTGCACTCTGCCTCTTACTACCCAGCAGTGCCTGCCTCTTACCTCTAGCCAGGAGGATGCCACGATTGTTTATACAAGACCGGCTCCATCTGACCCCCTCTGGGCACTGGGGACTAAGCCGCAGGCCTCGGCCTCATCTCCGGAGGCACTGGAGGAGGACGGGACCTCTCCTCCTGCCCGGATGTAGTTGCCCCTCATGGCTGCCTTTCTGAGGGTGTGTATATGTTTACTTGAGAAATACCCTGTTTACAGCCAGAGGAGAATGGTGCCCAACACTAGGTGGAGAGTGACTCGGGACAGCCCGGCCTCTATGGCACTGCCGGCGGTGGCCCCAGCGTGAATGAAGGCAGAGGTGCCAGGGGCTGGGGCGCTCCCTGCACTCCCTGTACTCCCGACCCTGCGGTGCTACAACCACTGGCCACCTTCCTCAGCCTCCTGGCCCCAGACCTTCCCCACCTGCATTCCTTCCTCCAAGGTCCTCAGCTCCTTAACGTATCAGTTGCCTCCTAGAGAACCAGTGTGTGGAGCAATAAGATTTTTATTTTTTTTTATTTTTTGCTTGAGTCTTTTTATAAGAAAAGGAAAAGAGTTGACATTGTGGGACTCTCCTCTTTATGCTGTTGACTGTTTGCCTTCTTAGAAGACGGATGGACATCTGGGTTCTGACTTTGGGGTATCTTGGAAGCTTGGAAAAGCAAGTCAGGCTTTTGCCCCTAAGAAGGGGATCCTGACTCTGCCCTCACCATGCTCCATGCCACCTGGGCTTCCAGCCCCTCCCTCCAAGTGCGCCTCCCACCCTTGATCCTGCTGGTGCCCACACACACATCTGGGGCACTGGTGGCCTGACTCTAAGGGGGCTCTTGGGTTATTGCCTCCCATGACCCTTTCCCCTTCTAGGTCTGTCTGGTGGCCCCCAGATAGGCAGCTGCTGAGTCTCCTAGGAGGGCAATAGCCAAACTTGAACTATTCAGTTCTGGCCGCCGGGCTTGGGGCTGAGGCCCAGAGACACTGCCTCGGCCATCGTCCCACACTGGGCTGAGCCACAGCCTCCGGGATAACACAGGCCCATCTCTGATCCTGTCCACCTGAGCATGGAGAGGTGCCTCGGGAGGGGAACAGGAGGTGTGGTGTGAGGGTGGACTGTCACTGGCTGCCCGGAGCACCCCTAGAATTGCAGGGGTCACCGGAGGGAGGCCACAGGAGGAAGGGAGTTTAGGGACATTTTAAAGACCGCGTTCATGCCCCAGGGCCTCTCTCCATCAGAGCAGGGGAGTATGTTGAGATGATTTAACAGTTGTGTGGGGCCATTTCAGTGAGGGAAGATTTAACCCAGGCTTAAAGTTTGTTTCAAATACTAGTTAATAAGCCTATTTTCCTTATTTTCTTTTTTTGCACAGAAGCTGGTAATCTAGGACCTACGTGTGAACAACTTTATATGAGTATTTTTTGTACTTGGTTTACTTGGGTTGGTATGATACATGATATTTAAGTTCCTTGAACACTGTGGAGCCCCTAATGTGTATGAATGACTGAGGCTTTGTAAATTAAGGGACGTTTGTGTGAATAAAGTTATTTGATGGGGGTCAAAGAAGCCATATGTGATTTGAAAACGTGTGTGGTTTTGTCGACACCTGTGTGGGAAGGCGGAGAAGCCAGCCCTGTGACAGCTCTCCAGTCCCATATCCCACCCCTGGTCCCCGTGGGTGCACAGCATGAGAGAACAGGATAGGCAGTCGCTTGATGAAGGGTAGCAGGTGGTTTTCTCAACTGGTCTTCCCACCCCACACCTGGCAACATGTTCAGATTCAAGGAACCTGCACTTGGGAGCAGGGATCCACCAAGCCAAGCATGTCAAACTCAAAGGCTAACACGGCCAAATAAGTTCATGTGGGCCCTCCAAAAAGCTTCAGTTTTCATAGAAACAGGTTTATTTCGATAGAGAGATGCTGAATACAAAAGGCTAAAATAAATGAGTCGTTAACATAATAGAACATTTTAACAAAATATTTTTTCTTGAACATTAACTTACCAAACACTGAATAACTCCACAAATTAATAAGCATAACACAAATAAACCTATTTTTCTTGTTTGAAAGTGAAATATTTCCTGTTGCGCACACCAAACAAGTCAGTCCAAGACTAATGACGTATCAATCGGCTGCTAAAATATCCGCTGCTAGTATTAGTGGAGAGAAATGGTGTGCCTGTGCATAAGGCGTGTAAGAGAAATGAATGCAACAGGATTATAGTAATCAGTCATTAGCGAACATTATAGTTCGTTATTAATAACTAGAGGCGGGGGGTGAGGGAGATGAAGGGACCCTCTGCCTGCCTGATTGCTCCTAACCACTCTGCCTGCCTGCCTGATCACCCCTAACTGCTTTGCCTGCCTGCCTGATCGCCCCTTACCCCCTCTGCCTCTCCCCCCACTGCTATGGGTCCGTCCAGAAGGATTTCCAGAATGACATCCGGAAGGTCGTTTGGCTGGCTGGTCTAATTAGCATATTACGCTTTTATTATAGATTATGTATAGGAGGATATTATAACAAGTTATGACATTTTTATTAAAACGTTTTTTACATACCATTGTATTGGCTGGGCCGCAAAAATATTCGTTGTGGGCCACGAGTTTGACATGCTTGCACCAAACCTAGTCTGCCCTTCGCAGGGATCCAGGACCTTAGCCAACACGGACCTCCTCCTGACATCTCGGGCCCTTCAGCTGCAGCACAGCTTCTGCAAGTTCCACCCTCAGGGATGTTTAACGTAGAGATAAGAAGGGTCTCCAAACCGCAGCAGCAAGGTTCTCCCAGAGGCACAGGGTCTGGAGAGCAGAGGCTCTAAGTGAGACCATCCTGGTGGGTCTGGGGGTGGAAGAAACTACCTACAGCCCCTCTACCTCTGCCTGGCAACAAGCGCCACTTTCCTTGAGGAATCACTGGCCCTTAACTAAAAGCCAGGCACTCTGATCCCCCACTGGCCTGCATGGTAGGTGTGTGAGCCCCTCTGGGAAATCCAGGCCACCCGGTGAGTGTATTCGTGGTGCTCTGGGAAGGACGGGGACAGCGGGCAGGTGATTGTCTCGCTGGCTGCGCATTCCCTTCCTCACTCACAGTGGGGGTGATAGCTACCTCAGAGCAGCTGAAGGTTCAACAAGAACCTGATTGGGCCCAGCACTTGGTAGGGTCTCAACAGATGATTCTTTAGTTGTCTGTCTGGGATGCTCTCCGTCTGCCAAGTGCTGAGCCCCTCAAGAATCTCATCAATCCAATAGGGCTGGTGTTTGACATGGGACCCACCACTTGGGCCTTTTCTCAGGAGACCTGGTAAACACGGGAATCAAAACGGCAGGAGGACAGAGTCAGGACCTCGGAATGTGTGTTAGAGGAAGAGATAAGACAGGCTTCCTGCCTAATCTGGGGGAACAAGCTGCATTCAGACCCCGGCTTTGGTGTCCAGCCCCTGGGATGAGGCGTCTTGCAAAGGATCCATCTGTGCTCAGCCTGGACGGCGGCCTGGAGCTCGGAGAAGGACAGCCGAGGGCGAGCCATCATAAGTTGGGAACTGTCTGTATTTAAATAATCTATGTCCTTGCACAGTGCCTGACATGGCCCATAGCAGGCAATCCATACATAGTTATTAAGGGATGGGTGAGAGCACATGTTGGGAGCACGGCCCCGTGGAAGGAACTTGCTCAGGAGCCTATGGTGGGAGCAGCCCTAAGACGTGAACCCGGTTCCTGGGCCCTGGCCCACCCTCGTGGGTTGACCTGCAACTTCGCTCCATTCCTGAGGTTTAGCCACAGTCCATGTCATTCCCGTCAGCCCCTGAGGCAGGGATGAAACCAGCTACTTGAGGAGGAATCACCAGATGTGGATGAAGATACCATTGAGCTTTGATTTCTTCCACCTGGAACAAGAGCCAGCAAATTTTCTAACCGGGGCAAAAAGTAAATACTGCAGGCTTTGCAGGCCATGGACCCTTCACCTCTGCCATTATAGCACATAAATAGGCAATAGTAAACAAATGGGTGGGGGCGTGTGCCAGTAAACTTTCATTTATGGACACGGAAATTTGGATTTCATATAATTTTCACCAAAGTGTCACCCACTATTATTTTTCTTCCACCATTCAAAAATGTAAAAACCACAGACCCAGAGTAGTCTAGGGCTTGCTTCTGGGAGCTGGGTCTGTGGTGGACAGCATGGCCTGAAACTGGTGGGTCCAGTTCAGGGGGATGTGCCTGTGTCACGTGTCAGGTCACAAAGGTGAGTGAGGACACTAGAACGGTGCTGACGAGGCCCTGAAGTTCTGCGCACGCTTGGGCACAGCTCGGGTGTGGCAGGGAAGTGCAGTGTAGGGAGATGGATGTCACCCACCAACTGACACATGTTCATGAATCCAGATGCAGCAAAGTATGAAAAAAAATCGTAACAGGAGTCAAGAGACTTGAGTCCAAATCCAGCATGGCCTCCTGCCCGCTGCGAGGAATGTGGCAAATTCCCTCCTCTCTGGGCCAAAGGGTATGGTGTCTCTGGAACCAGACACGGGGTGTGGATTGCTGCTTTACCCCTTAAAGTCTTGTGACCTCGGCGTGTTACTCTCTGAGCCTCCGTTTTCTTACCTATAAAATGTGAGCAAAACCACTACCCACTTCATAGATTTTTTTTTCCTGAGAATGAATGAGGTAGTAGATATAATCCATAGCACAGTGCCCGGCATGCAGTAAACCATCCATAAATGGTATCGATAATATTTTTTAAAGGGGAAAAACATCATTTGAGATACTCCTCCCCCCAAAAGGGACTCAACATTTAAATACTGTTAAGAATGCTGTATATTTCATTCCCCTCCGGGAGTGTCCCAATGCACGAAAAGTTCTAAGAAGTCCTGTAATAAGTCCTATTGTTCAAGCTTCTTGGCTCACCGGTGCTTCTACACGGAGCACCTGTTCTCGGCTCCTGGTACTAGTGTTCTGTGGCAAATGCTTCGGGGCCCACTTCGGGAGATGCTAACTGAGATCTTCGCAGCGCTCAGATCCTACTTCCCTGTCCGGGGACTTCGGCCACCCCATCCGGTTTCACATGGGGCTGGAATCACCTTGCCCTGCTAAAGCCTCCAGTAATTGCCTCTGCTTGGTCTACTGGTTCCTTGAGGGCAGATTGGAATACGAGGAATTTAATAACCGTGGTCTGGGGCTCCCGCCAAAATGCTGTAGGGCCCTGGCCCAGACAACTCCAATGTGGTGAGAACACAGAGAGCAGCTGCCCCCGCCAGCAGACCAAGGCCACTGCCAAGGCCGCGCGTTCCTGATTCCCACGTTGGCAGAGCCCGGCCACCCTCCAGCTAGCGTTTGCCCCGCGCAATGAGCAATTAGCGTTCCACTGGGAAGCACCTGTGGTTCAGTGGTTCTGCACACAGGCCCGCTGCGAGGCTGTCTGGGATCAAATCAGTTTTGTCATATGTAAAATGGGGACAATAACTGCACCTGTGTCTGTGACAATTCGGTCTGGCTGCCTACACAGGAGACCCCAAATGACAGCAGCTGAAACGAGAGAAGTGGGTTTCTCTCTCACATAACAGAGCAATCGGGGCTATTGTGCTGGTTCCACGAGGTCATCTGGGATCCCATCTCCTCTGTCTTCCGGCTCCAACATCTTCGGGAAGAAGCTTCCATCTTCAAGGTCACCTCCCGGCCCAGGATGGCTGCTGGAGCTTCAGGCATGTTCTCTTCATCCCGGCAACAGCACAGGGGCAGGAAGAGAGAGCTTGCCTCCCTCCCCCTTTATGGAACCTCCTCTGAAGCCCCACACTGCCCTTCCACTTACATCTCCTTGGCTAGAACTTGGCACATGGCCACATGTGATGCCAAGGAGACTGGGAAACAGGTGGGCAGTTATCCTGTTACTAAAGTTGAGGGGAGACTTGGTGTTGGGTAAGACAAGTAGCCACTCTGCCCCACAAGTGTGCTTCTGGCTCAGTCTTACAAAGGTGAGGTATTATCATTATTAGTAATAGTTCAGCAGACCTGGGAAGGAAGGAAGGAAGGGAGGGAGGGAGGCATGACAGGTCATCCTTGCTGTACTGACTGGGGTGTCCCGTCTGCCACGGAGGTGACGGGCCCTCCGCTCCGTGGTGGCCAGTGGCGTGGACTGCGGACTAGGGAGGAAAGGAAAGGAAAGAAAAGAAAAAAAGAAAAGGAAAAAAAAGAAAAGTGAAAAGAAGGAAGCAAATTAGCCAGAGAGGGTCCCAGCACCTTATTCAGAGCTGGGACAGTGGCCTCCTATTGGTACAACCAGCGGAGCTCCCTGGTGCTGGGAGAACTGTGGGCTTGGTCCTTTTCTGTTGGCATGTCGTTTGCTCAATAAGCATGTCTGAGTGCGATCTATGTGTCCCACTCTTCTACGGCTGCAGATACAGAAGAGATAGGAGAAGCTTTTTTGTGGTGATTGAATGAGATCTGAAATACAGTGCCTGGGTTAGAATCACGGTTGTGCCACTTGCTGTGTGATCCTAGGCAATTTACTTAACCTCTCAGGGTTTCTCTGTCTTCATCTCTTGGATGGAGAAGATGATAAACAGCATCACAGGATTATTCTTTTTTCTTTTT